GTGTCACCCGGTACTGACCGTCCCGCCCCGCAGTCGCTGCTGGAGCTGCACAAGCGGCGGAAGGCGCTGAGCGAGCCCGAGGTGCGGTACTACCTGCGCCAGACCATCCTGGGCTGCCAGTACCTGCACAGCCACCGCGTCATCCACCGGGACCTCAAGCTGGGCAACCTCTTCCTCAGCGACGACATGGAGGTCAAGATCGGTAGGTGCCGGTGCCGGGACGCCCTGGCAGCCCCCCGTGGGGACCCCAGCCCCGGCGACCGGCTGTGGGGTGCGTCTCCGCTCACGCCCTGTCTCTCCCAGGTGACTTTGGCCTGGCCACCAAAGTGGAGTACGACGGCGAGCGCAAGAAAACCCTGTGTGGGACCCCCAACTACATTGCCCCAGAGGTGCTGGGCAAGAAGGGACACAGCTTCGAGGTGGACATCTGGTCCATCGGCTGCATCATGTGAGTCAAAATGCCCCCTGGGGGGCCGGGTGGGCCCTGTGGCCCCGGTGTTGGACCCTCTGGGTGTCAGAGCACCCGCCCTGACTGGGCTCCGCCGGCGCGGCCCCCCCCTGCTCCCCGCGTGCCGGTGTCTGTTCCCCAGCGCGGGGGTCTCGAGGTGTTTCCCCAAAGCCCACGTTTCTGAACCGGAGCTTTCTCCAGAGTTCTGGATCCCTTTTCACGGGGGCAGGAACCAGGCACACGGCGCGTGTCTGATGTGTGTTCCCGCTGCCGGGACAGCCCCAGGCTGTGCTCAGGATGGGGTCACTGCGGCACACAAGTCTTGGAGCCTCTTTTGCAAAACCAACACCCTTTTCTCTGTAAACATGTAGGTACACTCTGCTGGTTGGGAAACCGCCTTTTGAAACTTCTTGCCTCAAAGAAACATACATCCGAATCAAGAAGAACGAGTACACTATTCCCAAGGTACGGCGCTTCCTGTGGGCGGGCCCCTTCCCCGCAGCAGTTCTCAGTCAGCTTTCCCCTGCCCGTCCTGTTTCTGGCACGTAACGGGCTCTCACATAATGGTGAAACAGCTCTTACTGTAGAGTGTGAGGAAGGGGGTGTCTCGGTGAACCTGTAAGGCCAACTTCCTCCCAGGGAGCCACCAGCTCCCCGGTAATCCAGCCCAAGTCTGAGCTGGGTGGTTGGTACGTGGAGTTAAACGGAGACGCTCGAGCCCCTGAGCTCTGGGCCAGGTGCCCAGCTCATCCTGCTGCTGCTGAGTCGGTCTTGCTAAAGTCAGTGGACTTCAGGCTCTGCACGCTCTCGGGAGACAGCTCTCCGTGCCTGCCCAGCTCTGTGTCCCCCAGGCATGCAGCACGGGAGCTCTGCTCCCAGCAGAACTTCCCCCGGGTTGAGCACCCGGTGGCGTGTGTCGTCCCCTGACCCCTCCCTGCCGACTGTCTCCTCTCAGCACATCAACCCCATCGCTGCTAACCTCATCCAGAAGATGCTGAGGTCCGACCCTGCCACGCGCCCGACGATCAACGAGTTGCTGAATGACGAGTTCTTCACGTCGGGGTACATCCCCAGCCGCCTGCCCACCAGCTGCCTCACCATTGCCCCCAGGTTTTCCATCGCTCCCAGCGGGCTGGAGCTGAACGGGCGGAAGCCGCTGACTGCGCTCAACAAAGGTGAGAGGGGAGCCTGCCCCTGCCCGGCGGCCTCCAGAACCGCCCTGGGCAGCGTGGCTCTCCCTCGCCACTTCTCCCAGTTCTTACAAAAACCCAGAGCGGTCTGCTCGCTCTTGGCCCAGAACCAAAGCGGGGAGGAGTGCCAGCCCTCGCCGCGGCTGGAGGGTCTATAACACGTTTCCTATAGCGGGGGTAGAAGGCACATCTGGTGCCTTTAGACCCCTGCTCCCCGGTCACTCCCTCACGCTCCTCTTTCCTGGCCCAGGACCGGACAGCCCTGCACTAGAGAACTTGCCCGAAAAGGAGGACGTGGCGGGGCTGCGGGAGCTGGGGGATGCTGTTGACAGTCACTTGGCCGACATGTTGGAGCAGCTGACTGCAGTCAACTTGGCCAAGCCCTCTGAGAGAGTGGCAGTGAGACAAGGTGAGTTGGGACAGTCCCCCCCGGCACTGCCCTGCCTGGGTGACGCTTCTCTTGTCACTCATTGTCGTCTGAAGTGAGAGACCGGCTGACCTCCATGTCAGACTGGAAGACTGAGCAGCCTTTCGGCCTTGCCGAGGTGTGCAGGATGCTGTGAAATGTCTTCTAACCAGCTCCTTTCCTCTTTGCAGAAGAAGCTGAAGACCCGGCCTGCATTCCCATCTTCTGGGTTAGCAAATGGGTGGACTACTCAGATAAATATGGTCTAGGTAAATAACATGGGGGTGATGCTTCAGCCGTTTCTAGTTTCTGAAGAGGCCGGGGGAAGCTTGGGTCTGGGCATTGCACAGGTCTGGTTCTTTATAATCATGATATTCCAGTGTGTGTGGCCAAGACCACCACCAGGAACGTTGCCAGATACCCAGCGAATCCAAAGTAGTGGTCACCAAACATCAGCCCTGGCCACTGCCGGGTGGGAAACGGTGACCTGCTGCATGTGGCTGCCCTCGCTGGCAGGGAGCACGCGTTCCCCTGCGGCAGCTCAAGCCGCTTCCACAGCAATGGGGGAGGAGGAAAAGTGCCACCCAGACCCCTGCAAAGAGGAGACTCTTTAGACCTGGCAGGGACTTGGTGGGGTGACTGCCGAGGAACCCCTCGATGATACAACTTCTGCCTCTTGGATTTCACACAACTGGTATTTGACGGTCTCACGGGCTCCCTTTTGAACTAGGTTACCAGCTGTGTGACAACAGCGTTGGGGTTCTCTTCAACGACTCCACTCGCCTGATCATGTACAGCGATGGGGACAACTTGCAGTACATCGAGCAGAACAGCACCGAGTCCTTCTTCACTGTGAGGTCCTACCCCTCTGCCCTGAACAAGAAGGTCAGTCCTGGGGACGAGAGCCCTCGCTGGGGGGACGCTGCTGGTGGTGAGGGTTTTGCCCGCTGGGCTGTGGCGGGGGGGGGGGGGGCCGGGG